CATAAAATTTATAATAAATTATTAAATATATACAATATGAGAACTTATTCTTCTTATCTAACTGTATTTTGATAAACTTTGTCCAGTTTCCCTCTTTCAAATAACGTTGAAAGCATTTTTCAGACATTGATTTCCTACTATAAGTTGATTCACATAGTTCATCAACTAATTCAACAGAATTCACAAAATGGGTGAATCTAGTAATTTAATAAATCTATTATAACAATAAAATTTAATACATTTATTTTGTGCTTGCTATTTTGATCTTACATCTCAAAATAAAATATTTTTAAGCAAATGGAACTGTATTCTCTAAAATATTTTTTATCTCCCTCTGAATAAGTGAATTTTTCCTATTTGCCTAGCTGTTCAAAATAGTATTCCTTCACTTTTAAAGTCCAATAATTTTACAAGGGAGTCTCTTGGTGTTAGAAGCCCTGAATCAAATTTTTCTGAGATGCTCTTTGCCCTTTTAAATTATGAATCTGTCATTTATCTGGAGGAATGTTCCTTAATTTCACCTTGGAATGTAGAAGCCTTTCCTATTCGGTGTGATTATGAATTTGTTTGATTGCTTTTGTCTGAATCCAGTATCCATAATTCTGTCTAGTCTATTAAATCTTAGTTTTTTTTTAGTTTGTTCATAGTTTTCAATTCTATTTTCTCTGTCCTTGTAATTCTGTCTTTATTCTCTGTTGCTCATTATGGTATGACTATTGTTTGATAGTTTTGTTGTTTTATTTTACATCTTTCTGACGTTATTTCAGCCCATGTTTTCCCCCCATCTTATCATGTTTCTATGAGGCCTTGTTTTGAGCTTTCAACTTTACATTGCTTTATTTTATTTATTTATTTATTTTTGTAATATATTATGGTGATATTTCTTGACAGATTATTCTGCCATGCTATTTGATTTTCTTTTTCAGTTGCTATTCACCTTTGAACAAGGTGAGGTGTTTCTTAGCCAGTGTTTTGTAAGATGTTTGTATTATATTTCATAAGTAGATTTCATAAGTATTGGTTAATACAGAGCTTTCCAGGCTGTACTATAAAACAGGTTACAGCCAACTGAGGCACTGATGTCTCCAAACCTTAGTAAGCCAAAGTAGTTACAAGAAACTTGTGATGGACAGAGAGGTAGTGAAAATCAGTGACATGAGACCAAGTATCTAGAAATAAACCTAAGCACAGGAAAGTTAGAAGAAAATGTGTTTGGATTAATCCCACAGAATTCTGGATCTCCACTGAAAAATATTATGAGTTAAAAACAAAGAAAAATGCCAGGATGTAACCATTGTTAATTTTTATATATTCATGGAGTGGAGCAAAAGTCATGTATTAAATTCAACATATCAAGTAAATCTGACAAGTCAGTTCGCAGAAAAAAATAGAAGTGGCAATAAATGTATAAAATGATTAATTTCTTCAATTATTTTTTAAAAATTAAAAATGTTTTTAACCCATGTGATTGGGAGTGATTTAGATTTCATTGTGTAAAGTGTTTCTGCACTGTTGGTTTCTGCAACTCTTTGGTAAAGCATATTGGCAATATCAAAACATAAATATTTGTACACTTTGACCCAGCAGTTCCATTTTGTGAAAGCTGTGCTACAAAGAGGCTTGCACAACTGTGCCAAGGGAAAATTTTCTCTCTTTTTTTTTTTAAGCAAAACATTTATTGGTACATATAACAATAACATTCATCAAAGGGAATTTGTACCTGTGCATGATATATCTTGCTTCCTCTTTTCTCCCATTGCCCCTCTTTATTTGCAAAAGCTTTGTTTCTATTTTTTCCTTCTATTTTTTTTATTTGCCCTTCTTTCCTTTCCTCCTCCTCCCTCCCTCATCCCCCTTTTCATTTGAACATTTTCTTCTCATTTACCAATATCCGTTATACATTTTGGTCCTTAATTTCTCACACCAGGGAAACACGGAGCTATTTACACATGTGTGTCTGATATATCCCCCTTAAGTTTCTGGTCTCAGGGTGTATGCATTTAGCTAGAAGTATCTCAAGCTTATCTTTCTTGATGCCAAGGTAAATTTCAGAACTGTAGATCACACGCTGGTACAGTGGTACAAGCTTGTGCACCCATAGTTGTAACCCAGCTACTGGGAGTCTAAGAGAGGAGGATCGAAAGTTTGAGGTCAGTTTGGGTGACTAACTCAGTGAGATGCTGTTTCAGAATGAAACTGCAAGAAAATGTTGTGGGTATGGCTCACTGCCAGCGTGTGCCTTGCATGTGTGTGATCTTGCTTTCAGTTCTCAAAACTGAAAATTTTTTAAACTAAAAGAAGGAAATATATACTACAGAATTGTAATGGAAGAGCAAAATGATTTAAATATGTGGTAATATTTATTACATTATTATTAAAATATTTATGGTAGACTAGGAAAACAAAGTATAGGGAATTTATTGTGTAGAATACTGTAGCACTTCTAACAAAGACTCTTTCCCTACCTACCCCTTCCCCCCCCACCGCCCACATTTCTTTCTTTCTTTATTTCTTGTTACTTTTTGACCAGGCTGGACTACCCCTCCCAGCAACACTCCCGCCTCAGCCTCCCAAGTGCTGGGATTACATGCATGCACTACCACACTGTGCTAAAAACATTTGCATAGAGTTTTAATTGCTGCATAAAAGATATCCAGACCAGGTTGATAACCCCAGCTAATCAAAAGTTTGAGGCAGGGAGTTTGAGCCCAGGTATTTGAGACCAGCTTGAGCAACATAGTTAAGTTCCTGGTTGAAAAACAGAAAAAGATGCCAGATATGTAAGTGAAAGCTTTAAATTGTTTGGTGTAAAGATAGTTACATTTAGTTTGTCTATAGCTGTGTGAAAATTAAATTAGTGCACATGTGTGTGAGGTGGGGTCCCAACTGCCCACAGGTGTTACTGCCATTAAGCTGGGAAGAAGAGGGCAGGCAAAAATTAGAAAGTTAGAAAGAGGGCAGGTGAATGGAGAGTTTTTTTTTCTTCTCAATATTCTGTGGTATTTGAAATTGATTTAAACAAATATGTTGAAGTGCAAAAAAAAGGAAAAACAAAAGAAACTTTGACAAGATGTGATCACAATCCTTAAAAAAAATAACATTAAAGAGTAAAGATGTGGTTTCAGGGGTTTCTTTCCCTGAAAAAGAAAAATACCAAAAACTGTAAAGGATACTCGTATAGTCAACTTTAGTACCAGATTACCATGAATCATGCATACTTGCTGTTTTAAGAAGTACTTATTATAAAAGGGAAATAAGAAAAATTAGTAAACCAAGAAATGCATGTAGATATGCTCAATATCATAATGAGAAATTGTTTAACATGCTGTCTGAAGAAAGTGAAGCTTAAAACCAGGAGTTACAATTTGAATGTTTCATATGGCCAGGGAATTAACATAAATAAAGTAGACAGCCAAGTTACAGGTGCATATTACATGTCGCGATATCTATGAACACATTACAATATAAATATTTAATCTTAGAAGGTATGTTTTAAATTTAAAATGCATGTTTTATGTACAAATTTGCATCTGATACTTCGATGGCTGTGAACTTAATTTTTTCATACCAGTTAGAGAATCTCAGGAGGGATGTTTAGGGACTGCACTTATCCGTCAGAAAGCAATAAATCTTGATCTGATGTAAGGAGATGAAAGTGGAAGGAGCTGAGGCTGTTATTAAAATGCAGATCCCTGAATATTTACATCAGATTCAGAGAGAAAGTTCTGGGAATACTATTTTTAACAGGCATCTCATTTCATTAATATCAAATGAGCTTAAGAAATACGGATTTCACGTAATATCCTGTCTTTACTCTCTTTTTTTCATTAAGTTAATTGGTACATTTAAGGCAAACAAGACAGTTACATTCATCATTGGGATTTTGTACCTGTACATAATGTATCTTGGTTCTTATTTTTTCACCATTCCCCTGCCCTCCCTCCACCCTTCCCTATTTACAAAGACTTTGTTTCCATTTTTTCCTTTTTTCATATTTTTTCTTTTCCCTTATTTCCTTTTCCCCACCCCTCCCACTTCCCCTTCTCCTTCAGCCCTTTTCTTCCTGCCTCATATTATCTCTTATACCATTTGAACCTTATGTACACTTTGTTTCTCACACTAGAGAAACTATTCGGTATTTACTCAGGTGTGTCTTATTTATTTCACTTAAGAGTATGGCCTCAAGGTGCATCCATTTAGCTATAAATGTCTCTAGTTTTTCATTCTTTCTGGCTGAGTAGTACTCCATTTTATAGACAAACCACATCTTTACTCTTAGTGTTATTTTTAAAAAGATTTTGATCACATTTTAAAAATAACTAGTTTTCCTTTGATGATATTCAAAATAATATTCTGTAACCCTAAATATTGCTTCAACAAAGAAATTTATACAAAAGAGAACTAGATATAACTTCAATATTCCTGCTTCATAGTAAATATTGAGGTTTATTATTTTGTTCTAAATATCCTATAGTGTAAGTACATTTTTCAAATGTGTTTACGGTACTGTTGAGAAATTCATTATATTGATTATTCTGAACTTCTGACTTGGAAAAATAAAGACTACATTTTTCTTTCTTAATCTAAAAGCTGTAGGGCTGGGGATTTAGCTCAGTGGTTCCGCTGCCTGCCTGGCAAGCACAAGGTCCTGAGTTTGATCCCCAGTACCAGAAAAACAAAAACAAAACAAAAAAAACTATACTTTATTGGTACCACTTGCTTTGATTGTGTTTAGACTGGCTTATTTAACATTTGTTAATTTTGATTCTTTAAGTAATATTCCTTAGTTTTGTGACTTTCTAAATTTTGGCATGTAACAGTTCACAAATTTTCTGTAGTGCTCTACATAATTTAAATATCAAATGAAGTGACTGGAAGAAATAATTAAAGGTTATGGGACAGGTACTTAATTAATTGATTAATAATTAAAGGTATATAAGACAGGTACTTAAATAATGGGCTGATTTTACATAAATTACCTTTTCTTTTTTTCACTAAAGACACTTGCTTAGCAAGAAATAGTAGCACCAGCTGTCCCTCTTCAAGATCATTGCTTTCTAGCTACCTGTATGTCTTCATCCTGGGCCAACTGTTGCTGGGGGTTGGAGGCACCCCTCTCTACACCCTAGGCACCGCCTTCATTGATGAGTCAGTGCCTACACACAAAGCTTCTCTGTATATAGGTAAGTCTGCTCTTCCCTGGAACAGCCTTGGGATTGTTTTGTTTTGTTTGTTTACTTTAGAGTAAAGTATAACATAAGCTTGTTAAAAAGTTTGTTGTAATGTTATTGGTATTTCTAGTAGGTAACCCCAGCGTTACTTTCGTTTATCTTATTATTTATTGCCACATCAAATCACCAGTGAATAGAATGCATAACGACTTCTGTTGGTGTCCTGCTCTGGGCCGCTGACCTTACTGGATGGGAAGAACTGTCCGGGCAGCCTTGTTTCTTGATTGCTTGAATCCCTGGGAAATTTACACAGGCAGTGGGGTTTGACTTACTGGATCCTGTGTGAACTCGAGGAGAGTCCACAAGAAAAGCCACAGGAAGGTGTCCAGAGATGCTATGGCATTTTCCATTTAAAAATTAATCTTTTTAAAATAAATGACTCTTTTTTTGGGGGGGTGTGGTTTCTAATATAAGTTGCTCATAAATTCTTCCGTGAAGACTGGAGCTAACTAGACTGTGCAAGGCCCTACATCTGATTTTTTTTTTTTTTTTTCTGGTACCGGGGATCCAACTCAGGTCCTTGCTCTGGCAAAGCAGGCAGTGGAACCACTGAGCTAAATCCCCCACCCCCTACATCTAATTATTAACTAATTTACTGGGGCATACGTTTTCTCTCTATTACTTTATGATTGTATCATAGAGAATTATTGACCTAGTCACTGAATGCCAGAATGTGTGTTCAAGATGCATAATAAATACTCGCATTGGGAATAGATAATATATTGCAACTTGATTCTTTTTTACTTTCTGTTCTTCCTCTCCTCTCCTCCATCAACAAATCCCCTTCCTATTTTTACAGAATCCTAATGTAAATACTTCTGAAGCAGTTTCATATTTTTATAAATATAAAGTTAAATGGAAATTATTTTTAAAAGTCCATCAACAAAAAGGATTTATAAATGACTGATTTCCATCGCTTCTCGGCCTTTTGGCTAAGATCAAGTGTAGTATAAATGACTGATTTCCAGCACTTTTAATCATATAGCCTTGTTCATAAAATATTACATACTTGAATTTTCTTACTAATATTTTTACATTATAAAATACAACTATAAAATAAGATGATTGAAAGATAAAATTATTACACGTTTTCAGATGAACTTTATGTTGGAGACTTATCTAGTGCATAAATATTTTTTGTTACCATATGTGCTTACTTTTCAATATAAACTAAGTTTCTTGCTCTCTTGTATGGGCCAGGGATTTAGCTCAGTGGTGCCACCACCTGCCTTGCAAATGGAAGGTCCTGAGTTTGATCCCCTGTACCAAAAAAAAAAAAAAAAAAGAATAAAAATCACACCAGTCAATAAAAAAAATCTCAAGGATGGTAACTAAGTTAATTTAGTTTTGCAAATATTCTAAATTATATCTGGAAAACATTAAATATTCGACAGACATAAACTCAAGTTAATCCTGCTGTTAATAACAATAGGAGAGTCATGGAGGACCAGTGGCTTACTGTTCTTTTTTTTTTGTACCGGGATGGAAATTGGGACCTTGCACTTGCAGGGCAGGTGGCAGCACCACTGAGCTAAATCCCTGGCCCTAAGTGGCTTATTTTTAAGAAACAGACTTGTCAGCAAATCCAGGTTTTGAAGTTTGTGTTAATGCAAAGCAAAGAATGTTTTCCAAGTGGGTGCAGAGTGGGAAAAGTTTCTTGTTTCACATTGTTTTCTTATAAACAATATTGTAAACAATATTACTGTAGCAATTATTGTAAACAATAATTAACACTGTCACTAAAAGAATGAGTAGATATACTATCCCTACCACCAGTGAACATAATGTAACTTACCATGGATTTGTAATGACTGGTTTTATTGTAATTTTTATTATAGTCAAACACCTTTTACAATGAGTCATGCATTTTAAGTTCCTTGACTTGTCAGCCAAATGATACCATCCAAATGCTGTTTTTCTTAAAAATCTGGGTAATTTTGATTTAGGTCTAGTCATTAAGATTTTTCTACCGTGAAATATTTTTCTTTGTGTGCTGTTGTTAGCCATGGGAAGAAAAGTACATACAGACATTTCCAGTGTCTTTTTTCTTCTTCTAGGAATTGGCTATTCTATGTCACTCTTTGGCCCTGCCGTTGGCTATGTGTTGGGAGGACAGCTGTTAAACATATACATTGATGTTGCTGTAGGACAGAGGCAAGGCGATTTCTTTCATTTCATTTCAATAATGCTAATGTCACAGATAGAGTGTTTTCATCCTACTTACTCCGAATGGTATGAGGGACATTTTAGGAAACAAAACTCAAGCACATAAGTTTTGGTTGGTATTTTACAAAGACTTCATGAATCAATACTGCAGTTTCTCTTTATTCATATAAGGATGTATGATAGAGTAACCTGGTACATATAAGGAATTCAGTACCGGTTATGTTTTCATTAGATTTAGTTAGAGATAGCCTGCATTGTCTCAAAAGGCTGTGATTCTCAGAAGAAATTCTCCGGTAGCTCTGATAATGACGCAGTGATCCCAATGATGTCACAATAACTGTGACAGATTAATAATTATAGATAATATTCATTCCACACTATTCTAAACATTTTTTTTCTTTTGCTAGTGGGAATTAAACTCAGGACCTTGCTCTTGCCAGGCAGGCACAGTGCCACTGAGCTGCGCCCCCGGCTAAACATACATTTTTTTTAATTAACTTACATTATTTTACTTACTCCTGCCATATCCTGTAAGGCAGTTGACCCCTATACATTAGTAAGTGGTCAGCACATGATTTGAAGTAGAATTATTTACTCCCCTGTTCCCCTTCTCCTTTTTCTTAGTGTAGACACTAGTGATCTCTGATGAGACTCCTATCTTATTTTACCGTTAAGGAAGCTGACAGATTCTGACTGCTTAATCATGAATCCTAACTGCATGACCATGAGTTCTAACTGCATAACCAGATCCTTACTGCGTAGCCCTTGGCATGGCCATGAGCACCTGTGGGCCTAGACATGAGATGTGTTCTCTCAGCTGCTAGTGCTAGGTTAGTATTTTAAAGACGATTAAGAGGTGCACAGAAGTAATGCAGGAAGCAGAGACAGGTTCTTAAATGACGTTTTAATTTTATTTGGAGAAATTGATAAGTTGTATGAGTGGTATGTTTGGGAAAGAACCTATTGACATTAGAATATGAAGGCTGTTTTTCAGTTTTTCACACCAGATAAACTATTCGGTATTTAGCCAAGTGTGTCCTATTTATTTCACTTCAGAGTATGGCCTGAATGTGCATCCATTTAGCTATAAATGTCTCTAGTTAGAAAAACTCAAAGTGTAAATAAGGTTCAAATGGGGTAATTGATAGTGTGGAATAGGAAGAAAATGGCTAAAGGGGAAGTGGGAAGGGGAGGGGAAAGGAAATAAGGGAAGAGAAAATGTGAAAAAAGGAAAAAATGGAAACAAAGTCTCTGTAAATAGGGAGGGGAGAAGGGGCTGAAGGGAGGGCAGGGGTATGGGAAAAAATAAGATCCAGGACATTCATGTAAAGGTGCAAGATCCCAATGATGAATGTAACTGTCTTGTTTGCTTTAAATGTACCAACAAACTTAATGGGGAAAAAGAAACATGAAGGTTGTTATAAAAACTCTTAATAAGTCATTTAATATTTTTATCTGCAAAGAAATGCCATAATGGAAGTAGAGTGCATGGGCTTTTAACAGAGATCAATGATTTGCTGTTGAGATGTGTTTAGTACATACAGCAGAGATGTAAACAAGAGTAGCTAAAGTTAAAGAATGCTTAGGAATTCTACGTATGTTTTCAATGTAGGTATGTTTTCATCATACTTATATTAACTATTACATTTTTTGGACTTTTTGTCATATTTGCCAGTTCAAAGTACTTTCTAAACCATTACTCTTATAACCAATTTATGTGTGCTGTTGTTTGAATCAGCACAATGGCTTCATTAAAATTTTTGAAATTATAATAATATTCTGCTGTATGCACTTGACTTACAAACCATACGATGATCACAACTGAGTTTTCATTAACAAGACTGCGTGGACTATGACTGGTTTCTCTCTCGTGCAGCGCTGATGTCACTAGAGATGACCCGCGGTGGCTGGGGGCGTGGTGGATCGGATTTCTTATAGCCTGGCTCTTTGCCTGGTCTTTGATAATACCTTTCTCTTGCTTTCCAAAACATTTACCAGGTAAACTTATTTTCTTTAAATTCATGATGTTTTATTATAATTCTAGGCCGGGTTTTGTTTTCCATATGATAAATGTGGGACAGATTCACCTTGTTTGTTTTATCAATTGTTTGCCTACAAAAACTTTCTAACATCTAAATTCATTAGCAAATATTGAATAGCAATCTTAACATTTATGGGTTTTCTTTATTTTTAATTAACACTTAGTAAAACTGTTCATATCTTCCTTTTATTACTTAGTAAATTTATTATGTTTTATCTCGATTCCTGCTTTCAGTATATGCAAGATAGAATATCTTTTAAACTATTAGTTGTGTTCAGTTAGTCACTCATCTCAAGGACCAACCTGCCTCAAATAATTCATTTTAATTATTTGGAATCGAAAGTACAAGTCCTTTTATTTTCAGTTATCACCAAAGTTATGCTGTAGCTTTCATTTTTAGCAAATTTCAATACTAGTCTTTTCATACAGTAAATCTTGACAGAAAATAATACCTATTCCTTTCTCTGTGAAATCTGTAATTAAAATGAGTATTTGTAGAGGCATTTCTCTATGTTAAAGGTATTTGTTTCTGTTGATATTTTCAAGGGAATAGATGATTAACTTTTGTGCATAGGCATAATAGAGCTGGACAGACTGAAAATAGATGGACTCATTGATTTCTTTATACCCTGGGCCATGCAATTTCTAATTCTGTATGTTGGCTGTTTTCTCAGATTTATTCACAGTACTATTATTAAAAATCAAAGGAATGCAGTGATAGATGGCAAACATCATTTCATCTGTTAAGCATGTTTTTTCCTTAAGGGAGCAGAGGGAAAAAGCCATCAATGTACTTTTATGTGTATAAATGATGAAAGGAAAACAACCATTTGAAAGTGAAAGAAATTTAAAATTTCAAAAGGACAAAATATGTGTTGGGAGAAAAATGTGTCATTTTAATATCTAGACTGGTCAGCACTTCCTTAGTCTTGATGAATGCCCGCTCCTAGCACACCCTGATTACAAACATTGATATTTGAACAGCCTTGTTCACAGAGAGGAACTGATCTCTTGTGTTACGGAATTTATATATTTCTGGAAGTATGTGTCAATTAAAAAGTAATTATACTACTCTACCATAAAGAAGGATAAACTCGAGACATTTTTAGGTAAATGCATGCACCTTGAGACCATACTTTTAAGTGAAATAAATCGGACACATCTGTCTAAATAGCACATTGTTTCTCTTGCATAAGAAATCCAAAGGGTAAGTAAGGAGCTGGATGGAGACTAGCTATCGGGAAGTAGGAAGAAAATGTTCAAAAGGGAGGGGGAACCAGGGTGGAAGAGGGGAAAAGGGAAGGGGAGGAAATAGGGATTAAAAAAAAGAATGGAAGGGAAAAAATAAAATGAGTAAAATGGTAAAGCAAACAAGTTTACTGTATTTGTAGGTACAGCAAAAATTCAAGCTGAAAAAATTTCCCAGACACATCAGAGTAAAAGCAATTCCTTGCCACACATAGATGATTTGGGGCAAAGTATGAAAGATTTTCCAGTGGCTCTAAAGGTAAAATAAAACAGCTTCTCTCTTTCTCTCTCTATCTCTTTTTCTCTTGCAAATACACGTGTACACAAGTACATATGTATGCATGTGGTGTATACAAATAGCTGTACATTCACAATACACACACACACAGCCCCACACAGATCTTCTATTTTGTATTCTCGTTTGCTTACTTGCTGCCCTTCTAGAGTTGTACAAACAACTCTCCAGTTCAATTTTGACTCATTTCCCTCTCAGTAGTCTCTGGGATTCTTTGCTCTTCTTTATTTAAATGTGTGGCAGTTGGGAAGTTTCCTGTGTGTATGATTTTTTAATTTGCTCTTTCCATGTGTAAGCTTGTAAATTTTTAAAATGTATGCTTGACTCTAGGAAATGTACTGGGTTATGCCTAAGTATAAAGATCCTGAGTGGTTTGCAGGTACAGGCAGCTATTTTACGATGCTCAGCCCTACACCCATGTAAGGATCTTGATGATTGTGTCTTTTCACCGTGGAATAGTACCATGGTTTTGATCCTTAGAGACCATTCCCATCTGCTCACTGTTTCAGGTTCATTCAATGGACAAAGGAATTCAGAACACAATTTTCTTTTTCATTCATTAAGTTTATTGGTGCATTTTAGGTATACAATACGCTGACATTCATTTTTGGAAATTTGTACCTTTACATGCTGTGTCTTGGTTCTTATTTTTTCCCCGTTCCCCTGCCCACCCTTCAACCCCTCCACCCCTCCCTATCTACAAAGACTTTGTTTCCATTTTTCCTTTTCTCATATTTATCCCTTCCTCTTCTTTCCTTTCCTACCCCTCCCATTTTCCCTTCCCCTTTTGACCTTTTGTATTTACCATTATAACAATTTTATTTATTTATAGTTTTTGGCACCGGGGATCAAACTCAGGCCCTTGTGCTTGTGAGGCAGGCAGAGGCACCACTGAGCTCAATGCCCAGCCCCCATTGTCACAGTTTTAAAAGTCAAATAAGTGGTAAATTTGCAGTATGGACATTTATAGTTTAGACCGGGAATGGAAGCCTTTCCGAATAGGCATTTGCCTCCTCTCCCTGGCCCTTTGAGTGAGATAAAGGAAAAATCATTTGTCAGTCCTCTAGTTGCTCCATCTATTAATTATCCACAGCTAAATGTTTGTGATATAGTATTATAATGTTTACAGATATCATATGTATTAAAATGTTTGCCATTTCATTGTGCAATCGTTCTCATGCTACACTTGGTAATATGATCATAGTTATTTATTTGGTGAACTGTATTTTTTCTTTAGAATTTGATGAGGAATACTGTCTTTATGTGTTTAGTTCTATCAACTTCTTCAGAAGCCTTAATTACTACTGGATTTGCTACATTTTTACCTAAATTTATAGAAAATCAATTTGGACTGACATCCAGCTTTGCAGCTACCATTGGAGGTAAAATATTGTCTTTATTCTCATTCACTCTAATAATTTACATAATCCCATTAAATTTTAAATATATATGTATATATATACATACATACATACATATATATATATATATATATATACATATACATATATATATTTAGATATCCCAAGCCCTGAAATTTATACCTTATCATGATTTAAAGTTCCTGATTTTTCTGAAATCAATTTACTGTATGAAGTCAGAGACACAAATCCTACACACTAAAGAGAAATCTTAATGCTCAGTGTTTAATTTTACTAAGCCCTCACTTAATGGATCTATTAAGTCATTTATGCATATATTTCCGTGTTGGACAAATACTTTTATGTGTTACAGCCCCAGTGGTGTTTGTTTTGATTCATTCTGTCAGTATGAGTTGCTGAGCATGCTTGTGTGCTTTCTCGCTGTTTTTCTCATTAGGAGCTGTTTTAATTCCTGGAGCTGCTCTTGGTCAGGTTCTAGGTGGCGTCATTGTTTCAAAATTCAAAATGACTTGTAAAAATGCCATGAAGTTCGCTTTGGTCACTTCCGGAGTTGCACTTGTGCTGACTTTTATACTTATTTGTGCCAAATGTGAAAATGAGCCATTTGCAGGTGTCTCTGAGTCATATAATGGGTAAATATGTTCCAATGCTTTTTCATATTAATATCAGAATAAGAAATTACGTATCCATTTTAAAATCAAATGATGAAGAATTGACCTTGTAAAAATTTTAAACTTTTTAAAATTTTAAGAATGTGTGTGTTTAGATTACATAACATATCTTCTTAGAAGTTGTTGCTATTTATTCAAAGACTGGCTAAGAAACAGCTACCATGTGCTGGGCAGTGTGCTTGGGTTGGATACAAAGACTGATGCAACAGAAATTTTGCCTTTGAGAAACATGCATCTGCTATGGTTTGAATTTGTTTCCCAATAGTTGACGTATTGGAAATCACCCCCAGATTCAGATGTCAGTCATGTTTGGAGGTGAAGCTTTTGAGAGATAATTAAGGTTAAAAGAAGTCGTGAAGGTAGTGCCCCCCCCAGATGCCATTAGTAGCTTTATTAAGATGAGGAGGAGAGATCCAAGCTACTTGCTTGCTCTGCCCTACTGTATGATGCCTTCCACCATGTACACATAAACGCGCTTTACAAATTATCCAGTCTCGGGCCTTTGATAAAGCAGAAAAAGCAGACTAAGACAGCATTGTAGTGAGAATTTCACATTATAGGTCCCATTAATTTAAAAAGTTTAAGAAACAAAAATTATTTCCTATGAAAAATCATCTTAAAAGATTGCTTGAGAATGGACTAGAAGAGAATTAAAATAAGGACATCCCTAGGCATTACTGTATATTTACTTTAAAATTCAGGGTTTTTGTACAGAAATGAAAACTTAATAACTTAGCCTGTCCTGTACAGTTTCTGCCTGAATTATCTTGATCATATATCTTTCTTTCTTCACCTGCTTTGTTTGGCTTTGAAATCCGAAGCCCAGAGTAAGTGTTCATGCGGAAGGGCATTGCATAGTCGTGTATTTTAAAGCTCACAGTGTTATTTTACTTATTTCATTACATGTGCGTGAAGCTGGTGAAGGAGGTGGTATCCCAGGCCCAGGACTCCAGAATTTGTGTAAACAATATCACTCAGGTGACATTAGTGGAGTGTAATTTGCTTTTGCCAATAACAGTAGTCATGGGTTGCACTTGCCTTTCTGCTTCCCTTCACGTTATGTGAGGCTGAGTGTCCTGGAGCGGTGTGCTTAGGCTCCATTACATTTATTATTTATTCAGCACATGTTGAATGCTTCCTCTGGCAGACCTTTGTGGTCAAGTGTGTGTTCTAAAGGAGAGCCTGGGAAACAAAACAGTGAATGAACAATGACTTAGGCAACTGGGGATACAGAAAGGACGATGGAATTGAAAAGAAAGAAAGCTTTTCAATTTTAGTTGATTACATTCATGAAAGGTTTCATGGCCCAGTAGTGGAGTTAGTTTACATATCCTGTAAGGCTACAAAGAATTTTCAGATGTAAAGATTTGAGAGGAGAGAAAGGCAGAAGGAATGTGCTAAGTGTAGATATAAATGCCATACAGAGTGAAGTCTAGGTTCAGGGATCAGCTTGAATGGGATATAGGTTATGTGTCTGGAATAGCAGAAAAATATCTGGAAATGTAGATAAAGTTGTGCAGACCTGACTTTTCACCCCTAATGCCTCACCCAAACATATCCTAACAAACCACTCTCTCTGTATATTCCCTTTGGAAAGACAGAAAGTCCTGAATAGTTGAGCACACAGTTTATCAGCCTGAGCAACAAAGTAGGTGTCAGTCCATTCAGTCTTTTCTCCTTGCCACACGAGTTACTGCCAGGTAACCGAAAGGAAGCAAAGTGATGCTCACCATCAGAGGAAGGAAGTGTGATGGTGTCTGCTTGAGGTGCTATAGGCAATGGGCCTTCAAGACCCATCCAGACCTGGAGCAGAGCGATAGTGCTTAATACACATGAACATTTCTTAGAGATAGAAAAACTGACAGTGAGTGTAATACACCTACCCACACTCACCTGTGTTTATATGTGTGTGTATGAATATTTGTACCTATAGCTGTTGATCAATTGATAAATATAAATATAGACACAGCGTTCATGTCACAAAGTAGTGTACTATTTTAAATTAGTTTATTATACAGTCTTTGGATGCAACTCTAAATTCACTTGCATGTTTGCAAACATCTATTAGTTATTAAAATTCCCCATCATTCTTGTAGTGCCTTGCTGATCTTCTCTGTAGTATTTTGGCGTCTTCTTTTGGTAATGGTGATTTAGGCTGCAGTCTGGAGCAGCTCAGTGACTTCGTGAGACCCTGTCTCAAAATACTGCGAGCCAGGCATGAAGTTTAGGGTGAAGACCAAGTACTGTGAAAAGCACCTAGTTTCAGGCTAGATTGCCTCACCAGATTTGAAACTCTTAATCTCAGGGTGCATACGTATGCATTGATCCCCTCTTTCCCCATCCGATTTGCCTTCTCTACCTACACAAGGGGAGTCATCATTAACGTGTCCACCCTTCAGAGAGGGGCACTGAGTATATATCCAGAAGTTTTCTCCAGTGTTTCCTTCAATCCTGTCTTGTATTTTAGCTCTCCTTTAACTTACCATCACCGGTTGTCTGGGGTATCATCACTGCTCTCCTCCAAGTTCACATTCTATACAACTTCTAGGATTAGTGCTTTAAAATGAACATTCGAGAATACCGCTGTCCAGACTAAAAAACACTTCGGTGATTACCTTTGGCCTGTAGGTCAGAGTTCGTTGTTTTTAACAAGACCCAAGAGGCCCTCGTTAACCTGTTCTGTGACTGCTTTCCAGCAGCATTTCCTTTAGCTCTCAGCCCCAGTTACTGTCCATACTGCTCCACATGGTGCTGGTTAGACCTCAGTGCCTTTGTATCAGCTTTTGTTGAATCTCCCTTCTCCTTCCCCACGGCCAGATCATTACTCATCCTTTAAGGGACATCTTGGGTAGTAGTGTCTCCGTCCCTCTTTTCCAAACTTTGGCTTGTGTTCTGTGTTCTCCTTTGTTGTTTCTGAAATGCACTGTGCAGATATCAGTAACCACAGCTAGCCTATTAATATCTAATTATCTGGACTATGGCATTTTTGAGGATGTAGACTATCTTATTCGGCTTTCTCTTTCCATTACCAGCATAGAACTTAGACCGTTTGATACGAATAGCTGAGAGAATGAATTAATGAGATGTGGGAGAAGCATCTTTAATCATGAAAAGACATTGCTTCTGTTAAGAGGCAGAATGAAGCAACACTGGGAAAATTATATTTGGCAAGGAAATAAAAGTCATTCAAATCTCTCTAGGCCTTAGTTTTCCATTGGTAAAGAGACTAGGTAGAATTCACCCTTTTAGGTTTAATACTTTTCCAACTTTCTAGAGATATTTGGCTGCTATAATTAGTATGAGAGCTACTGACCTCTGGTGGGTGGAAAATGGAAATGCTACTAAATAGCACACTGCCTGCAGACCCAGAGCCCCACTGTCTGGCACCAAAGGAGAAACTTGCTATCTTCACTCACTCTGTTTTAAGTTTCACATCACTGACAGGCATCGCTGTTGTTTTGACTGCCTGGCCCTCATAAGAAATTAAGCCCATGCACGAAGGCAGAAATGTTACTTGGTTTGTGCATTGTAGGTAATTATGTGTTGAACGCGTGAATGACCGAATGGCGAGCTGTAACAGTGCTCCTGACTGTTCCGTTAATGGTGGCGACGTGGAGGAGCTCACCTTCCGCCTTTTCTTATTTACAGGACTGGAGAACTGGGACACTTGACAGCCCCTTGTAACGCCAACTGTAACTGTTTGCGATCTTACTATTACCCTCTGTGTGGAGGAGACGGAGTCCAATACTTTTCTCCCTGCTTTGCTGGTTGTTTAAACTATGTTTCAAAGAGTAAACCAAAGGTAACTGTGCCTGCTGCGTTAGCCCTCTGAGCAGATATCGTGATCCCTCTGGTGGGATTGTACTGTGCATATTTCTTTTCTGTGCCCCTGTTGTGTAACTCAGGTTAAGAATAGTAGGTAAAATAACATGCTCACTAGATGATGTGATATTTTTAAAAGTGCTTGGTAGAAACATATTGTGGTATAACAGGCTACAGTGAATAAATTATACAAAAGTCATATGACAGTCTTGAATACAAGAACTATGGGATAAAGAAATGGCATTCCTTTTCCTGTTGTTGTTGTTTTGTTTGTTTGTTGGTTGGTTTGGTACTGGGGGTAAAACTCAGGTCCTTGTGCTTTCGAGGCAGGCGGCAGAACCACTGAGCTAAATCCCCAGCCCTGCTTCTCAAACTTTTTTTGTGGGGAGGGTTTGAGACAGAGTCTCACTATGGTTGAGACTGACCTGGAACTCACTATAGCCCAGGCTTTTTGTTTGTTTGTTGGTTGGTTTGGTACTGGGGGTAAAACTCAGGTCCTTGTGCTTTCGAGGCAGGCGGCAGAACCACTGAGCTAAATCCCCAGCCCTGCTTCTCAAACTTTTTTTGTGGGGAGGGTTTGAGACAGAGTCTCACTATGGTTGAGACTGACCTGGAACTCACTATGTAGCCCAGGCTGGTCTCGAACTCACAGCGATCCTCCTGCCTCAGCCTCCCGAGTGCTGGGATTACAGGAGTGTGCCACTACACCCAGCTTCAAACTATTTGAAGTTGAAAGATGTAAGATTTTTGGGCCGGGGATTTGGCTCAGTGATTCTGCTGCCTACCTCACAAGCACAAGGGCCAGAGTTTGATCCCCAGTACAAAAAAAAAAGTAAGATATCTACATAGATTAGAAGTAATTGAAATAATCTATAAAAGTACTACAGATTTCTTTCAGAACCAACATGAATGCCCATGTGCGTGAAATTATATACCTTTTAGGTTTATATATGTATTTGCAGATACACATATATACTTATCTCTAATGAGTTTAGGTATAGCAAATATTTCAAAAGTTAATCTCTCCAGGCATGGTGGCGCACACATGTAATCCCAGAAGGTGGGAGGATGAGACAGGAGGATTGCCTTGAGTTCAAGGCCAGTGAGTTCGAGGCCAGCCTGAACTAATAGCAAGACCCTGTCTCAAAAACCGAATTAATTAATTAATTAATTAAAATAAAAGTTTATTTCAGTAGACTAGGTTTCAATAGCTTCTTGTTGAGGCTAAACCAAAATATGATAAACAATGAACTTTTTGTATTGTATGACCAAATTCTATTAAGAACATGGAGAAATCTAACATAGTAGACCTACTAGGCCAGTTTGGTGTGTGCAGTTTTAACTTTTGGAATTAAACTCATTAGTATTATCCAAAAGTACCTATGAAAATATGGAAACTGTGGAAATATAATAAAACACTTCAGGAAGACTTTCAGAATTTAATTCCAAAACAGGGCTACCCACCCTGTGGGTATTGGTGTTGTTTTTCTTTCAAACACCTTTAGGAAACTCTGCACACAAGGCATCAAATTCTGCAGATGAGCATGATGGTTATCTTAGAATCAGAATCACAGACAGGTAACTAACTGCTCCTCTGAGATGTGGAAGAGTAGATAGCATTTTATTGTATATAAATATGAATGAGATGTTACAAGAGCTTATCTTATATAACTGAAGTCATATAGAAACAGCCATTCAAACAAGGAAAAAACAAAAGGCCAAATACCCAGAGCCCACTTGAAATGGTATTATTTTGATATAGTTAATGATGTATTTGCATTTTTGACCAGTGCTAATTTCCATCTCAGCACATTGCCTTCTAGGTATTGTATAGGAAGAGCAAGTTATTCTGACTTCCACATTTCCTTTTTGTCTGGCTTTTTATGTCCACATAGGCCATGTCACAACCCATTGCTTCACAAGCTTTTTTTCGTATGGAATATTTCAGACAGGCAAAATTCTTATATAATAATACTTATACACATTTTTCTGTAGGAAAATTAATCTTGCATTTTATACCAGTGACCCAAACAAAACCAGATTTTGATGTAGACATGTATTACAGGCAAATACATAAGACAGTTACAGTTGTGATCAACACGGACAATCTTGATCTCAGATTTCCTTGTTAAATTCTAAAAGGCTAAATTACTTCATTGCTTGATATATCTGATTTCTTATTATAGTCTGTGTTGGAGGTGTCCTCAGTATATTTGTTTTTTTCTGAATCAGTTTTATAATTGTGTTAGTCCTAACAAAAAGTCTGGCTATTGGAATAGTCCAAGCACCACTTCTCCTTAACTTTCCTGGCTCTTTTCTCTCTGATTTGGTTGAGCTTTTAAATGTGTAAGAGGATTTATAGTAAGAATGGAATTGAGATGTAAAACGCCTTTAAAAATAGTTGCATCTAAGAAACTTCAGGAATATCTGAATTCTTTTTCTACAGTGATACTTGTTTTCACTTATGGTAGCTTTCACCATTTTGCTTTATTAATATATCCATAAATATGTTAATATGTGTATATATGAGAAATAGTTGTATTATTTGGATTAGAAAATAGCCTTCAGGATGATGTAGTAGCTTCTAGTTTTATTGTTATAAAAGTATCATTTTAAGGATAGTTTGCTTTCAGTTAAGTAATTTAGAGAAGTCAAACAAATTATTGTTAAAATTTCATTGCTAAAACAGCAATTTTTATCAGTCATAGGACACAGTAATTTATTATGCCTTGTCAAAATTATAGTGTTTGCTCTTTCAAATAATTCTAGTACTGAAATTGTAACCATAGATGTCTTTTTTCTTCCTATAATGGAAAAGAACAATGTTAGCAGGAAGACATTAATTGAGTAATTATGGTTAATGGAAAGTAGTTGAGAATGTGCGAGATTGTGTAACTGTTATATTTTCACCAATTTGTTTTGGAAGTCACAAACCAGTAATAGGTTACAAGTTGAAGTAATGGTCATAAAAGTGAAACATAGATGATTAAACTTCATAAGTATTGTTTTTTCCTACTTTCTTAATTTCTTAAGGTTAATTACTCCTTAGAATTATTTTTTGCATATGAATCAGGACAGTTTGAGAGTGTTTGCCACATTTAGAGATCATCTGATTTACAATGACAAAAATATATTTTCTAAATAAACACTTTCAGTATGTTTATGTCTAATATTTTCAGATATATTACAACTGTTCCTGTATTGAAAGGAAGGCAGAGATAACAACTGCAGAAAGTGTGGGTTTTGAAGCTAGAGCTGGAAAATGTGAAACTCACTGTGCAAATTTGCCCATATTCCTTGGCATTTTTTCTATTACAGTGATTTTTACCTTTATGGCTGGCACTCCTATAACTGTGTCCATATTGAGGTATGTATTATGTTGTGAAATTTTCATTCCCTAAGACAACAACATGTTGCGTGCAAACAAAATTAACCAAGGGTTCAGTTGGGGCTTAACTGAGGTTAATAGAAATAGTTTAAATAAAACTGTTTTTGGTATAAGCACAAGTTTAAAAATTTTTTGAGACTTAGAAGTATAAATGGAAAACAAAATTTGCATATATTAAAGGAATATTTTGAAATAAATATATACTGTAAAGTATATATGAGTGAGATGGTGGAGTACTATTATATCCTTCTCTGGTTTACCTCACCATGTAATCCACATTTATCCATATTGTCAAAAATGGCAAAATTTCCATTTCTTTTTCAAACTGACTAGTATTGTGTACCAGATTTTCTTTATTCATTCACTGATGAACACTTAATTTGACTCCATATCTTTGCTATTGGAAATAATACTGAAACGAACAAGGAAGTGCACAAATATCTTCCATGTACTAATTTCACTCCTGTAGATACGTCTCTGTTTGTGAGATCCTGGATAAAACGATGATTCTAGTTTTTAATTTGTTGAAGACTCTTTATACTACCTTCATTATGGCCATAGCAATTTATATTCTTTCAAACAACATTCAGTGGTTCTTTTTTCACTACATCCTTGCCAATTTTGTGGTCTTTTATCCTGCCTGTGACAGCCATGCTAACAGTTGTGAGGTGATAGCTCATGGTTTGATTTACATTTCCCTGGTGATTAGTTAGGATTTTACCTGCAAACATCATTGTCCAGATTAAAGTCAAGCAACTTTATCCCTATTCTTTTTGTAGATATTTTGCAGATTCAAATCTTATGTGTGAAGTCTTTGGCACATTTTGAATTCATGTTGGGATATGGTATGAGACAAGGGTCCAACTTTGTTCTTTTGTATGTAAATATACAAGTTTTGCAACGTTTTTTATTTGGTACTGGGGATCGAACTTGGGCCCTTGCACTTGCATGGCAGGTGGCGGGACCACTGAGTCCTGGACCTAAAGTTTTCTTTATTGAGGAAATTCTTCTTTCTCTCTTATGTGTTAGATACTTGGTACTCTTGGCAAAGATCAGTTGGCTAGAGATATATAGACATATTTTGCGGCTCTCTGTTCTAGTGGTTATATATTTGTTTTTATTCTTCTTGCTCAAGATTGATTTAGCCATTTTTAGGTCTTTTGTCCTTACATATGAGTTTTAGCATTGTTTTCTATTTCTGTGAATGATACCATTGACATTTTTATTAAGAAGATATTGAATCTGTAGATTGCTTTTGATAGTACAGAATTTTAGCAATGCTGATTCTTCTGATGCAAGAAGATAAAATGTCTTGCCACTAATTTGTGTCTTTAATTTTTCTCTGGTACTGGGGATCGAACTCAGGACCTTGCACTTGTGAGGTAGGCGTGATGCCACTGAGCTAAGTCCCCAGCCCCTTTTATTTTATCTTTTAATGCTATGGTAAATGGGGTTTTCTTAGTTGCTTTTTTGTATATTTCATTGTTAGTATATAGAAATGCAACTTAAGTTTTGCTGTTTTTGTATCCTGAAATTATACTAAATAGTTTTCTGGTGGAGTTTCTAGGGCTTTCTCTATGAAAGTTTATGTCATTTTGAAGCTGACTTATTTCCTCCTTTTTCAATTTGGACAGCTTTTATTTCTTTTTCTTACCAACTTATTTAGGCCAAGAATTTGAGTAGTGTCTGGAATTGAAGTTGTGAATGTGGACATCATTGTCTTCCTCCTCATCTCAGAGGAAACTGCTCAAATTCTCACCATTAAGTGTGATACCAGTGCACATTGTCATATTGCTTTAGGGTGCAGGAGTACATCACATCTGTATCCAATTTATTGAGAGGTTTTATGCAAAGTAACTTCTTATCAGTTCTTGTCAATGAATGCCTTTTCTCCTTTACCTTTATTAAAACTCATAGGGATTAGTGACTTTTTGTTATTTGCAGTATTTTTGTTTTGATAACATTTTTTTCTTTTATAGACTCCAAATGATTCAACCTCTTATAAATTCATAAAGTATGGTATTTTATATGCACAAATTAGTTTGATATAGAAATACTAAACTGATCGAGATATGAACTTGCTTGAAGAGTGAAACTTTCACGTCTCATTAATATTTAATATTTCCAGGTGTGTTGATCAGAGGCAACGGTCTCTAGCATTGGGAATGCAGTTCATGTTGCTTCGATTACTGGGTGGGTATACCATTGTGTTTAAGTTGATGTTAAGTGTTGGCTGTTTTGCTTCATGGATATTTTGATTTATTCGGATGTAACATGTATCAAGAAAATAATTAAAGAGGGAGACTATATAATTGTCATTCAAAAAAAGCTGTTTTCTAGAGTTCAAGATGTAATATTACTTTTATATCACATGAGAATGAAATGCCTTTGCTTTTCATCCACCTGATTTGTTACCTGTTCAAAATGTAACCTTAAAATACCTCACTCATTTGAAAGATAAAATACATTTTGAGAAATACATTCTTTTCTCTCTGCTTTTATCTCCATTTGTCACACTATTGTGTTGTATTAGAAATGAACAACAATGAGTGAAAACATTTCAGAAGTAGCTATGGTGTAAATAATGTGACTAGATATGGTTTGATGAAAGAAAAGATGTAAACCAGACAATTGTACAAGGTTCCAGATGTAGGAAAAGTAGGAAGAAAGAAACATTTAAAAAAGTAAGATTACGATCATTTATTAAAGCAAAAACCAAAAGTTAAAATATTAGAGAACACTTACCTAACTTTCTCATTTTTCAGATAAGTAATTAAGATTCAGCATTTTGCCCATAGTCATGCATTTAACGGAGGAAATGAGATTAGCATAATGGTTTTAGCCACGTGCACTTTAGGCTGCTGTCATGCTACCAACAGGTCATGAGAAGCAGACTAGAGATAACCTAAACCATCGTCTAAGCAATACTACCTCAAATCATATAATGTACTTGATTTATAACAAATGCAAGTTCCTTAACTAGAGTCATCCCTCCATTTCCTTTGAGGATTGAGTCTACCACCTTGCCAATCCCCAAATCCTTGATTCCTCAAGCCTTGTGATAAAATGGTGCAGTATTCAAATATAACCTATGCATTGCCCTTCTCTTATACATACTTATATACTTATAAGTATACAACTTATATACTTCAGTGCATCTTTAAATGACTTACAGTACATAAAACAATGTAAATAGTTATTGTAGTGTATAAGAAATAATGACAGGAAAAATACAGGAACATTTTCAGTAGAGACACACCGTTGGGAAAATGTTTTCAATCTGCAGTTGGTTAAACCTGCCAGTGTGGAACCAGCAGAATCAACCGTACATGGAAATTTAAAGCTTGATGGCCTAAAATAAATCAGACAATTGCGCTTAAATATCACATGATGTCTTTCATATGAGAAACCCAAAATATAATAAATTAAAGAACAAAATAAAAGATGGATAAGAGGAAACAGAGAGAGAGAGGACCAAGAGACAGAGGGAGGGGTAGAAGGGGAGAAGAAAGGGATAAAAAAGAATCAAGATGTGTTGTGTACATGAATCAACTCCCCATGATAAATGTAATCATTATGTACTGAAAACTTGTACTGATAAAATAAAATGAAAAAGAACAACACAAAATTAAAATTTTAAAAATTTCAAGTAAGTAATACTGCTGGGTATATTAGCGTGGAGTTATATCTGTATCTGTACTCATATACACTCTCATGCACACATATTCATATTGTCATGTATATACACACAAATCCATGTTAGTTTACATCTCTGTGCATAATAACCCTGACCATACATAGTCCAGAAGACTTATTTGTGCACCAAGAATAAGTTGTTTTGATTTTTTAAATCTATAATAGCTAATTTCAAGGACACATTCATTTATCACATTATAAAATCAACAAATTAAAATATTTACTAAACATATTAACTCAATATATGTCAGAAATGTTTATTAAAATGTTGTTTGAGTTGACTAGAACTATAAAATTATACATAACTAAAAAGTTTGTCTTTGCTTCTTTATATCCTTTTGTTGTGTACATGAATTGATTAATTTGTATATTGAGAGCCTATTTTTTTTTTTATCAAAATAAAGACGTTAAAAATCTGTAACTAGGCTGGGGATTTAGCTCAGTGCTTCCACTGCCTGCTTTGCAAGCACAGGCACCCGAGTTCAATCTTTGGTACCAAAAAACAAACAAACAAACCAGCCTGTGACTATAAATTGTAATCTTTACCTATTTGTATTTTGCCTGTATTTCTTCTAGGTACAATACCTGGACCAATTATATTTGGTGCCACAATCGACAGCACATGTACTCTGTGGGATATCAATGAATGTGGAATTAAAGGTGCTTGCTGGGTCTATGATAACATCAAGTTGGCCCATATGCTCGTAGCCATAAGTAAGTGACTTCTTGATAACTCTGCAGTAAACTAGTGTTGAGTCAGAAAACCTTGCCCTTGGTTACTTAGATCACAGTTCTTGTAATACTCATTCCACACTGTTGGAGATCAGTTATCACAGCATGTCACCAGAGGTTTCGAATGAAGCCTGCAAGTCCCAGGCTTAAAAAGAAGAGAATAAAACACTGACTTTCATTGTACCACATGTCATATGGCTTGCTGTTAACAGTTTCTCTCAGATTTGGGGAGGAAGTATACTTAAAAGCTTAAGTAGAATTCTGAAAAACTCTGGAGTAATTGTAAACACATAGAGCTGCAGTAGGGAAGTGTCCATTGGCTCTAAGGTATATAGTAAGAAACTTTTTATAGTTTAGAAGCCATTTTATAGTTTATAGCCATAATGTCTAGCCTTCTTGCCTTTTGTGGTCTGTACAGCCTTGGTTGGACAATAAAAGTTAAAATTTAGGAAGTAGAGCAACACATCCAGTTGGTACTATTAGGACAAAATCTGAAATGTAAAATTTCAAAAACATAAGAAATTAAAATATTTAAAAATAGAGAGATATTGAACATATAGTCCTATGATTTTCATATGTGACACACATAATAAGATGAACTTATTAGTCTTACATGTGCTTAGAAAATAGCATCTGAATTTATAATAGAATATTGAGTAACAATAAATATATGAATTCCAAAAAACTGAGAGTTCATATTGAGTAGAGTAGACAAAATTAATCTTCTCATCACTTTTGCCTATTGTTAATTGACCTATTTTCTTTCCTATTTCTTTTTCCACTGTGTTCTGGGGAATGAACCAGTAGCTTAAGAGGTCTGCCCTTAGCTGCAAGTCCAACCATGAAAATCATTTTTTATTCAGCCCGTTCATGTGTAAGATTTATTTCATTATTTTTTTCCTACTTTTCAGCTGAGAGATATGAATAATGAATTGTTATTTCTCTTATTTAGTAATGAATCTGGAAATTACTCCCTAAAACACATGATGTTAGATTTTCAAAAGCAAACCAACAAAAATTGTAACAACTGTATCTGTGTGATCTTCCTACAAATCTACTACTACCTACTTAGATCAGTGAGCATTCCTGCTTTTCAGATACACATTTTTAAATGATATATTCATGACTGACAAAAAGAAATCAGTAACTGGATACATTATATTGTGAGATCAAATTTAACTTATTCATCTGACACTTACAAATTCACCTAACAATTACTGAGCTTAGTACTGTGGCTGAAACTAGTTTCACTTTACATAGTTGAGCTCAAACAAACTACTGCATGAGTTATTTAAAAAAGGAGTTATTTGAAAGCAAATCAAAGCTCATGAAGGAAATCTTTTTTTTTCTTTTTATTGAGTTTATTGGTACTTGTTAGGTATACAGTACAGTTACATTCATTATTGGGATCTTGTACCTTTACATGACAGGTCTTGGTTCTCATTTTTTTCCCTTGTCCCTGCCCTCCCTTCACCCCCTCCTCCCCTCCCCATTTACAAACGCTTTTTTCCATTTTTTCATTTTCTCACATTTTTTTCTTTTCCCTTATTCCCTTTCTCCTAACCTTCCAACTTTCCCTACACCTTTAGCCCTTTTCTTCCTATTTCACATTGTTAATTATCTCATTAGGTTCTTATGTACAATTACAGTTTTTCACACCAGAGAAACTATTTGGTATTTACACGTGTGATTTATTTATTTAACTTAGGAGTATATACTAAATATGTATCCATTTTCCTATGAATGAATCTAATTTCTCATTCTTTACGGCTGAGTAGTATTCCATTTTATAGAAAAACCACATCTTCTTTATCCAGTTTCCAACTGATGGGCAAATGGGCTGTTTCCAAATTTGAGCTATTACAAACTGTGCTGCTATAAATATAGATGTGCATATGTCACTGTGATATGATTCTTTTAATTCTTTTGGAGAGATACCCAGCAGAGATATGGTTGGGTCAAATGGAACCTCTAGTCCCAGCTTTTTGAGGTATCTCCATATTGATTTCCGTAGTGGTTGCACCAGTCTGCACTCCCACCATTAATGGAGAAGGGTTCTTTTCTCCCCACAACCCCACCAACATTTGTTATTGTGTGATTTCTTGATAGCAGTCATTCTTTGTGGGGTGAGGTGGAATCTCAGTGTTGTTTTCATCTGCATCTCTTGAATGACCAGTGATGTGGAACATTTTTTCATATATTTACTTGCTGCTTTTACTTCTTTGTCTGAGAAATGTCTGTTCATTTCAGATGCCCATTTTTGAATTGGGTCTTTATATTTGGTGGGGGGCTGATTGTTTTGAGTTCTTTAAATATTCTAGATAATAGTCCTTTGTCTGAGGAGCAGCTGGTAAAAAAATTTTCCCACATTGTACGTTGTCTCTTAGTTCTGTTGATGGTTTCTTTTGCAGTGCAGAAGCTTTTTAATAAGATGAGAGCCCAGTTGTTGATTCTTTCTGCTAATTGCCATGCTACTGAGGATTTGTTCATAAAGTCTTTTCCTATGCCAATGTCTTCCAGAGTTCTGCCTAACTTATCCTCCAGCAAGTTTAATGTTTCTGTTTTAATATTTAGATCTTTAATCCACTTGGATTTTAATTTAGTGCATGGTGAAAGATAAGGGTCTAATTTTAATCTTTGGCAGGTTGAGATCCAGTTTTTCCAGCACCATTTATTAAAGAGGCTATCTTTCCTCTCCTGAGGATGGTCAGCTCCTTTGTCAAAGATGAGGTAGCTGAGTACATCTGGAGTTGTTTTTGTCTCTTCCAGTCTGTTCCACTGGTCCTCAGGTCTGTTTCTTTGCCAGTACCATGCTGTTTTTAATCACAGTGGCTTTGTAGTATAGTTTCAAATTGGGAATTGTTATACCCGCTGCCATGTGTCTGTTGTCTAGGATGGCTTTTGCTATTCTAGGTCTCTTATGGTTCCAAATGAATTTTTGGATTCTTTTTTTCTAGTTCTCTGAAATATAGTGTTGGAATTTCAATTGGCATTGCATTGAATGTATGTAGCAGTTTTGGTAGGATGGCCATTTTCACTATGTTTATTCTTCCTACCCAGGAGCAGGGAAGATCTTTCCATTTTCTTATATCCTCTTCGATCTCTTTTTTCAGAGTGCTGTAGTTTTCAGTGTAGAGGTCTTTTGCTTCTTTTGTTAGGTTGATTCCTAGATACTTCATTGTTTGGGTGCTATTGTGAAAGGAATTGTTTCCCTAATTTCTCTCTCAGTGACTCTGTTATTTGTGTACAAAAAGGCTATTGATTTTTGGGTGTTGACCTTGTACCCTGTTACACTGCTAAAAGTGTCAATTAAGTCTGGAAGTCTTTTGGTGGAATTTTTGGGGTCTTCAATGTAGAGTATCTTATCATCAGCAAATAATGACAGTTAAACTTCTTCCTTTCCTATCTTTATTGCTTTAATTTCTTTCTCTTGTTTAGTTGCTATGGCTTATGTTTCCAGAACTACATCGAAGAGGAGTGGTGATAGTGGGCATCCTTGTCTTGTTCCTGATTTTAACATTAAGGTTTTCAGGTTTTGGCCATTTAATAAGATGTTGGCTGTTGGTTTTTCATAGACAGCCTTTACTAAGTTGAGATATAGATCATCTATTCCATTTTTTTTGCAGGGTTTTTATTATGAATGGGTGTTGAAGTTTGTCTAATGCTTTTCTGCATCTATTGATAGGATCATATGGTTTTGTCCTTGACTTTGTTGATATAGTGTATTACATTTATTGACTTACATATGTTGAACCATCCTTGCATCCCTGGAACAAATCTGACCTGGTCAGGATATATGATCTTCTTGATGATCCTCTGTATTCTGTTTACTAGTATCTTATTGAGGATTTTTGCATCTATATTCATTAAGGAGATTGGCTTGTAGTTCTCTTTTTTAGTTGTATCTTTCCCTGGTTTGGGAATGAAAGTGATACTTGCTTCCAGGAATGAATTTGGAAGTATTGCTTCCCTTTCAATTTCATTGAAAAGTTTGAAGAGTAATGGCAGTAGTTGTTCTCTAAACATCTTGTAAAATTCAGTAGTGAATCGATCAGGACCTGGGCTTTTCTTTGTTGGTAAATTTTTCATTACATTTTCAATTTCACTGATTGTAATTGAGGTGTTTAAAATGTTTTTATCTTCTTTTTTCAACTTTGGTATTTCATAAATATCTAGAAATCTGTCCATTTCTTCTGTGTTTTCCATTTCATCAGAGTACAGGTTCTCAAAGTAGTTATTGACTATCCTCTGGATTTCTGTTGGATCTGTTGTGACTTCACTTTTTCCATTCCTAATTGCATGGATCTGTGCCTTTTCTTTCCTTTTTTTGATAAGGTTTGCTAAGGGTTTATCAATTTTATTTATTCTTTCAAAAAACCAACTCTTCAATTCATTTATTTTTTTGTATTGTTTTCTTAGATTCCATTGCATTGATTTCTGCTCTAATCTTTATAATTTCCTCTCCTGTTCAAGCTTTGGGTTTTTCTTGCTCTTGTTTTTCTAGGAGTCTAAGATTCATCATTAGGTTGTTTATTTGAGCTCTCTTTGTTTTCCTAGTGTGGGCATTCAGTGCTATGAATTTTCCAAGTAGAAGTGCTTTCTTTGTGTCCCATAGATTCCTGTATGTTGTATTGGCATTTTCATTTATTTGTAAAAACTGTCTGATTTCTTCTTTAATTTCCTCTGTGACCCATTGATTGTTCAGGAGAGTGTTGTTCAATTTCCATGTGTTTGTGAAGTTCCCATGGTTTCTTATGCTATTGATCTCCAGCTTAATTGCACTGTGATCTGATAATATCAGGGAATAACTTCGATTCTTTTGCATTTATTCAAACCTGTTCTGTGAGCTATATGTGGTCTATCTTGGAGAATGACCTGTGTGCAGCTGAAAAGAATGTATATTCTGATTTTGTGGGATGGAACCCTCTATAAACGTCTAATAAGTCCATGCATTAAAAGCTTGGTTCAGTTCTAGTATTTCATTGTTGATTTTTTGCCTAGATGATCTGTCTATTTGTGATAGTGGGGTATTTAGATCCCTCACTACAATTGTATTAGTGCTTATTTGTTTTTTAATGTTACTTAATATTTTTTATATAGTTGGGGGCATTTATATTTGGTGCATATATGTTTATGATTGTCATCTCTTCCTCTTGAATTGTTCCCTTTGCAAGGATGTAGTGGCCTTCTTTGTCTCTCTTAATCAGTTTTGGTTTGAAATTTACTTTATCTGAGAATAAGATTGCTACCCCTGCTTTTTTCTGGACTCCTGAAGCATGGAGAATTGTTTTCCACCCTTTCACTTTCAGTCTATGGGCTTCTTTTTGCACTAGGTGTGTTTCTTGTATACAACATATTGTTGGATTTTGCTTCTTAATCCATTCTGCCAGTCTATTTCTCTTGATTGGTGAATTGAGGCCATTTACATTAATGGTTATAACTGATACGTACTGACTTCTTTTTGCACTAGGTGTGTTTCTTGTATACAACATATTGTTGGATTTTGCTTCTTCATCCATTCTGCCAGTCTATTTCTCTTGATTGGTGAATTGAGGCCATTGACATTAATGATTATAACTGATATGTACTGACTTATTATTGTCATGTTATTATCCTTTTGTTGACTCTTTGAATTTTGCCCTCTCCTTTCTTTTAGTTTCTTACCTTGACTATTTGGTTTGCTCTGTTGGGCCTCATGGTGTTGTGATCTTCATTGTCTTTTTCTAAGATATTGTTTATCATGAAGGAAATCTTAATGACATAGTTTGGGCTGATAGGTCAGAGTAAGTTACTATTAATTGTAACTTAATTGACATATTTCCATAGAAGTTTTCTCCTATAAATTATGAAGTTTTTATTTTTAAAATCATTTTCCATTTTGGATATGAAAATTTTACACTTTATTATTCAGCTGAAGGATGGTATAAACTATTTTATTTTCTCACTGAGTTTTGGTTGCTTGTAAGTGTTTAATATGACATTGCATTATCAAGGTTAGAAATAGAATATTTATTTATTTAATCCTAAACATCTTCTACATATGAATACAAATCATAATTTATAATAAGGCAAGTATTATTGTACAATTAATTTTACGTGTTTAGAAAGAAAGGGCTGGGACTTAGCTCAATGGTTCTGCCACCTGCCTTGCAAGTGCAAGGACCTCAGTTTGATCCCCAGTACCAAAAAAAAAAAAAAAAAAAAAATTCCTAGAAAGAACATTAATGCTTGTTCCATAATGCTAGGCTTGTACACAAATGTTGTATTTCTTTTCCCTACTATCATAAAATTTTACAATGTAGAACTAGAATGACCATATGATTATTCCCTTTACTTAAAATAGTAAGCTTCTATTCATAAAGAATTTTTGAAATGAATTATTTTTTTTAGTAACTAAAGCTCCAAAAACATGATTAATTTTTGTTTTTATATTTAGGTGTTAGTTGTAAAGTTATCACTATTTTCTTCAATGGACTTGCAGTCTTTTTGTACAAACCACCACCACCAGGCACTGAGGTGTCCTTTCAAAATCAGAATACAGATGTCACTACTGTTTCAGTACAACAAGACCTCAACAAAGCAGTAAATGATGGGTGAATGAGAAAATGGAAGTTATCTTACAGCTGAAAAATCAACCTTCATTTCTGAGCACACAGTGCCATTGCAGCATTATCTACCAAATAGAGACAATATTTTAAAACCTGATGTTTTATAAGTGAGTGTGTTTGTTGCATGTACATGGAGTACTGTATTTGTTTTAATGTAAGAACCGGACCTGTGCCTTCAAAGCCCATCAAAGCCTCGAGTCACATGTGCTCACTTTTTTCCACTCTTTAGGTATGAAATCACCAACTAATAGTATGAAAACGGCCAACAATTAGTTAAATGTTTACATTTTAAAAACATAATGAGAGGGCTGGGGATTTAGCTCAGTGGTTCCGCCGCCTGCCTTGCAAGCACAAGGACCCGAGTTCGATCCCCAGTACCAAAAAAAAAAAAACCAAAACAACAACAAAACAAAACAAAACCCAAAACAACAACAAAAAAAACATAATGAGAAAAAATTCTAAAACAGCTATTTTTATCTGTTCTGCAATTTGTTACCTTTTACTTTTCATTGTCAGTAGTAGTTAGAGTTTATTTGAAAATTTATTGTGTAAAAATGTCGACTCATCAAACTTATATGATATTTTTTGGGAAGTATTACAAGAAGCCCATGAACTTTGTTTTTAAGTTATATATACTAGTTTGAACTTTATTTATCACAGTAAATTATTGAATGATTAAAATATTGCTTAGTTATCTTCTTTGTGTTCTAGTATACAGTGAATACAGAAATATCAGCATTGAATAAACTGTTTTCACTTTAAGAATTCCAGAAGGTAATTTGTTGAGTTTTTAAAACTTAATTTGTATGAGTCCATGATAGTATTATTCAATTGCATACACTGAGAGGAAAGGACCTGCTTCAGTAATAAGAAGTGCCAATAATACATGAAAAGCGGGCTGGGAGTATATATGTAGCTCAGTGGTAGAACTCGGTTTATGTCTCCATTTATGCAGATCAGATTTATATTATGTTAATTCAGACCATGGAGGAAGTAGCTGTGGACAGCAACAAACATAACTTACTATTGTTAAGAATTTTACTGATTGAGGAAAGCATTGAAGGGCTAATGGTGTTGCTCAGTGGTAAAGCACAACCTGTCTTTCCTGTTTGAGGCCCTGACTTCTTAAACCTCTGCTGGGGGAGAAAAGCTTTGAAGTTTAAAACTCGATGTGATTACATTTGAATGTTTTCCCAACTAAAGATTCTAATTTAATAAGACTTGTTAGGTTTCCTCCATCAGTCTTCTTCTAGGTTAGTTTTACACACAGTTCTGCATACACGCTGATCAGGATAAGACAAGCTGAGAGTAAAGACCTAGTGGAAAGTCAACATCAGAAGCTATAGAAGTTGGCAGAATTTATCTGTTTGGTGGCAATCTAGGGCCAGTGATCATTCAAGAACCTAGTGACAGTGTACACTGAGAAGTAACACTATACACTGAGAAGGAGTCAGGATAGGCAGGAAGGCACACTTGACTATCAAATGAAAGAACCACTGGACCTGTAATTAGAGGGCTATATCAACTTAGGAACATTTGAACAACAAACATCAAAGGTAAAAGGTAGCCAAAAATTTCAGCAACCAAAGCAATGCGCAAGATAAATAGGTAGGGTTGTGAGTCTCCCTCCCACTCAGGAAGATGCATTTTTAAGTGTTTCCACCAGGTGGGGCCAAGACTAAAGGAGAATTTAGACTTTCTGTGTTTTCTACATGGAAGCAAGAGATTCAGTGGAAGAATTTCATAGCTCTAAACTTAAGGCAAATCCTGAGATACTCACTGTTCATATGTGAAATGAGAACAAACAAACAAAGGAAACAGAACAACTACACAAACACACTAGTGGGGGGGCCACTGAATTTTAGAGAGAAAGAAAATATCACCACACACATAGTAGTTTGGTAACAGGTTAACGAATAATTGGCTTTCATAAAGATTCTTAGTTATCAAGGGCTACCCTGCATTCAGTGTATTCAGTTTTATAAGATGACATATTTTTACAAACTTTTAATGAAAATGTTAATGTACAGTAATTTTGATGCTTAGAAGGAGTCTGACTCTTATTTATACTGTACATATGTAGAAAGAATAGAATACCTCATTTCATGATAGGGTGATACAGACACTATTATAATTTATTCTCATCATTTTTGCTTTGGGATTCACCTAGGTCAGTAGTGGTAAACCTATGGCTAATCCCTAGGTGCACAGGGCTGTTGTCATCACTGAAAGCTTTAAAAGCTTCACCATCATGGACCTAGGTTATATGAGTTGATATGCTACCTTAAGAAAACATTTTCACAGTACTTGTTTTCCATAATTTATTATGATTATAATCAGTAAGTTTGAACTTAGGAGTGAACCTATTATGATTTTGTATATAATTGGATATATTCTCTTAGAACTTGTAACATTTTGACTTCCTTATTGCAAAAAATATGGATAAAATTCTTAAAACATGGAAAGAACTGTATACATTTTACTATGTAAATTGGAAAATATAAATAAAATTTTAGACTATTCAAGTTTTTCCTTATTATAAGAAACCTTGAGATACATATATATATATATATATAT